ACAGAAGGTTGTACATCGGGTAACTCAAGAAGAGACACGAGACCTTTTCAAGGTTCCAGTTGATTACGCACTAGCTCACTGCGTGGCAGAGGATCTCCAAATGTCCAGGGGTATCGATGTGGTATTCAACAAAAAATTGTCAGCTCCAAGCAATACGAGAACAGAATCCAGAAGTCAAAACATTTTCTGCTTGGTGACCAAAAAGCTGCTCGAGACAAACCATCCTATGAAGATGTCTGGAGGAGTCTTAACAGACTGAGGGACACGATGCTCGACCAGAATCTTGTGGACTTGGCAATCCCGAAATTAGCCTCTGGGTTCGACAGGCTGGATTGGAGAATTAAGAGAAGCATGTTGGAAACGATATTCAGGTCCAGCAGCATCAAGATTTTGGTGTGCGGTAACCATCTTCCACGACCGAGCATGAAGACTGCGGAGTGTTACTTCCATCGAACTTTACAGTGCAGATAAGGAGAGTCCTGCGGGTATCGACATACGCCAAGGATGACATTTTGGGGTGAACGTCTTTAAGAAGGGGCAATGTAACGAATCTGAAGCCGCTCCTGACCGATAGGCCAGCCGACTCATCGAACAAACATATGACTTCACCTCAAAAGAATGCAGTCGGGAATCGCCGGTAAAATTGTAGTACCGAACCGACTACAGAATTCTAGAGAGGACCGTTACCGATATAAGCCCGTCTTCCCGACCCAAGAAGGCAGTTCAGAAAGTGAATCAAGCGGCTAAACAAGAAATTCAAATAGTGGAAATAAATTGAGCGTTAGTTGCTAAGAGGTGTAATAAATAAATTAGTTTGTGGTTAGTGAAATATTGTTGGAAATAAATTTGTTTAAGACAGTTGATTCAATAATTTGTCACAATATATAAAAAGAGGAAGTCATTTTTGAAGCAGTCTGTTCAGTTCGGATTATGGTATTATTAAAATGGATACAATGATCTGTTGTGTTTACGTGCTCGCTCATTATCCTAATCATAATATCATAATAACAACAGCTTATGAATATGATAATGACTGTTACATTGAAGATTATTTTCGAGTAAATTCAATATTTAATAAAATGAAGCTTCATAATGGATATGTGTGTCCTAAGAAGCATAGATGTGGTTTCTTTATTCAATAATGTATACTCAGAGGCTTGTTCAAGGGCCATTGAGACAAAATGGACTCGTATCAGCCAAATAACGATAATTTTTTGAATATTATAACTTTCTCGTTCAAAAATACCTACTTATTTTTATATAACATTGCATTTTATTACAGACATTTGGTACTGAATAATGTATTTTAAGTTTACCTTTTAGTTATTCAACTCTCTTTCTCATGAACATATTGTGTTCTGGTTTAGAAATGTAGATGACATATTAGTAGGTTTCGATGGTTCAACGAGACAAATAACTCATTACTTGAAATTCCTCAATAGTCTACACGATAAATTCAAATTCACCGTAGAGATAGAAGAGAGAACAATGAAATTGATTTAGATCTGAAAATATCCAAAAGCAATGATGAATTCGACTTTAACATTGCACAATACGTTTTGACTCTTTCAACCCGATTTCACAGAAGTTGTCTGCATTCAGGTCAATGATACATAGGGCTCTCACAATACCACTTTTTAATCAAAACCTCCGAGGTGAAATCGCAATCATTAAATAAATAGCAGTTAATAACAAAATACCTATCACTCTAGTTAACAACATTATAATGAAATATCAACAAAATTAAGTAATGAAAGAACTATAATCAATTTCCACAATACCAGAACACAAATATTTTAGTATCTATTATGTAGGTAGAATCTTCGAGAATAGTAAAAATAATCTTTCAAAATTCAATCTTCAAACATCCTACACATCCAAGAGAAATTTAGGAAACATATCATTTAATGCCAAACCTAAATTTGACAAAGGGGAGAGATCTGGTATATATCAACTAGAATGTGGTAAATTCCCTGCTATATGTACAGGCCAAAGTGGTAGAAACTTTGATATAAGGTACCATGTACGAACATCTTCAAAATTCGAAACATAAAATAGATAAAGATAATTCAAAAATCTTCCACACATGCGAGAAAGAGGAAATGATGAATCTGCTGGAATCTATGGAAATAAACAAGTCAAAGAAAAATCGCAATTCTATTTGTCGAAACGTCATCAGATTTAAGATAAAAGCTCACAACACGGATCGAAATCCCAGAAACAGTTCAGCATATTCCTATCCGTGAGAACTTCAGATTTAACATATATAAATATATATACAGTAAAATGGATTAACGGGGTCTCTCAGTCAAAAAATCAAAAATCAAAACTCTGCTCTACTTTGCCAAGCTTTCGCTTCTAGTGGGATGCTTCTTCAGGGCCCATGATTTATTGAGTTGGGTTTTTTTTTGCCAATGAATAACATTATAAATCATACTCACAGTAAAAATGAGAAAAAAACAATGAATTGAATACATACATCGACGAAAGAAAGTTAAACATTAAAGGATTTTTTTGGTTTGACGAATGTCATACCTTCACATTAATTTAATTTTTCAATGGGCATGATAATTTGTTGATCTTTGACTCTAAAGGGAAAGTTGATTGATACAATTTTCATTATAACCATTATGTTTTTTGGTGTAGTTACAATAAGTTACTGTATATACTGCTGAGATTATCAATGTCAGTTCTCTTATTCATACAATCAGAAGACTTATTAATTTCAACCATTTCAAGAAAAAGGCGTTTGGAAATATTTTTTTCTGTATGTAAAACTTTGATATTAG